AAGAAAGACAGTCCACTGAATCTAAATCATGTTAGGTACCTCTTCCTACAGCTTTTCTTTTCTATTTTTTCCACCTCCCCTTCCTTTGTCTTCCATTAGTATCCTTTGCTTCAGTTCTGAACTCCAAACCATAAGGACAGTAACATAGTAATACAAAGAGCTCTGCACCCTGGTCATCAGTAAAGAGATAGCCTTCTCACAAATTATCTTGTTGCCAGAAATCTACCATAAAATATTCATTGCTTTTGATCCTGAAGTATTTTTAGTCTGCAAAATGTCTTTTATTAAAATGAAAATGTCCCTTGGGGGAATGAGAACCTTTTAAGCTATTATCAGCTAAACTCATAGTGGATAGTTGGTTTATAAAAATTCAGATCAGAAAAATATTCAGGAATTGAAGGACACTATGTTTCAGGAAAAAAAATAGAGGAAAAAGTCACATGGAGAGAGTAGCACAAGCACAAAAGGAGTCATTGAAAGACATTACACATGTCCCCTGAAGTCTGGTGATGTCTTTGTATTTCATGCCTGACCCTCTTTTATCCTCTCTCCTCTGTTCCTTCTCCAGTCTTCAAGCAAACCCTCACTACCCAATGGCCTCTCATAAAAAGCATGAGTGTGTTGAACAAGAGTTTAAAAAACACAGTCTTTAATAGTGAAGGATATATCCTAAATTCCTAACTGTGAGAAGGTTAGAAAAAAAGTCAAAAAAGTAAATAACAATACTGGTAAGAATGACTGATAGATATACACAACCATCTACAACATGTCCTACAAGTGAGCAATTTTAAGTTAAAAAATGATAAAACTGAGACATGAGAAATGAGAAATTTGTAAAATGCAATACAGAATGTGTCAGATATAGAATTAAAATTTGGTAGCTAAAACTTTGATGGTATGCTTTTTTTAAAATTTACATATTAGTAGTGGACCTTAAGAAGAGAATGGAGAAGTGTTCATATTATATTAAAAACATGACATTAAGGTTGTAGCACAGAGATTATGGGACAGATATCACATAGACCTCTCCCAAATTCTCTTCTCTTGAATAGTCACTGGAATGTTATGGAGGGTACTATTCCTATCTTGTACATGGAAAATAAAATGCTGTGATCATAGCCTTCAAATATCATCACCATCCAAAGTTTATAATCCAGACTGCTAGCAGCCTAATTAATGGATTCTTCTGAGAATTCTATGGTCATTCCATCTTGAAATTAAAGGTTTGTCATCATATGTTCAGCTGACAAATAAGAATGATGAACATCCTTGAGTCATCCTTGAGTCAGTCGTTGTAGAGAAGAAAGCACTCCTCTCTGCTAGCTGACATCAACATCGCAGAAGACTACATGCATGGAGGGAACCTCAGTGCTTCTTATTCCATATAAATTAGTCATACCAGGCACAGTTCTGTCACTAGTGACTCATTCTAATTCAAAGGCCAAATTCTCCCATCAGCTATTCACCAGTTCTGCCAATCAATTTCCATACCCCTCTTTCAAAATCAATGGGCAGGAGAAGCATAAATATTCAAGGTGGAAAAATGAGTAAGCACAGAAGTAGTCGGGCTACCTGTGATTCCAAGAGGCAATGGAAATGCCTCTTTGATGGACATTTTTAACAAACTTTGCATAAAGGGCAAGACCCTGCTATAAATAGTGTCTGAGAGACAGTGCATCTGGAACCTGGGTTTGAATTACCTACTCAGAGTGCCAGGTAAAAGCCCTATTAAGCCAGAATGAAGGATATGTCACCAAATGCATAGAATTTCTTCCCTGCATCTATTAAAATCAAAGCAATTAGGAGTGACAAAGTATTGCAGGCTAATTTAATGCAGACACTTGCTGAACTAATTTATGCTCCAGAGTTTGTATAATCCAAAGGGACTTGTCTGGCAGGGAGGTTTGAAATATTCTGTTGTCAGAAATTCTAAATGCCAAATCTTGACCTTGGAGATATGCTTTCTGGAATGTTCTCATTTTCTGAACATCACAGCCCCTAGATACTAGAGCGTCTATACAAGTATGTGAGTAAAACCTTCTCTAAAATTGAAATACTTGTGAAATCAAGGTGCTGTTGACAGTGCTATTAAGTCTGACTTTCAATAATACTATGCCCAATTCTCTGTCCACCCTAAATTGTCAAAGAATCAAATCTCTTCTAATGTTAGACTTGGTTTTTTAACCTCTCACAGTTATTTAAGAGTTTCTGACCTAAAGCATATACTCAAACTTCTTAGGAAAAAAGGATAATACTAGCTCTCGATCACCTTGGATTTTTATAGAGACTCAATTAGACAAGCAAATAAAACACTTGGTTAAGTATCAGAAATTAACTGCCAGTAATAGCTCTAGTTATAATCTCTAGTATTCTAGTAATACTCATAATAATTATTAAATTTTCAGTCAGTAAACTTGGGAGTTATAGTAAAATCTAACCTTACTTGTGCAAGGATCTTTATAATTTAGCTTATGTCTTAAAGGGTCGATACCTTTAAAACATTTTTTTGATATACAGTAAAATATACTACAATAAGATATACTTTCTCTGGAGAAAGACTACATTAAATTAATTTCCAAACAAGTGTAGGAAAACCAATTCTAACAGAAGAGATAGAAGTTTTAGTACTTAGATAAATAATGGAGAATGACACTTGTTATTAGTCCTTATATCTCAAATCATCCTACACAGGAAATTATGATTACAACTAAGAGGTCAAATCTTGTTTACTTCTCTGTCTTTTGTGGAGTCTTTTTATGGAGCTCTGTATTTAAAAAGTATAGTGACTAAACTAATCAAGATTCCTTATAATTTAAATGAGTATACTTGTTAGAATCCCATAAAATGGCAAGAACAGTTGTGTGTGTGTGTGTGTGTGTGTGCACAAAATTGTCATACCTGACCAATTCCTTAATGGAACATTTTTTTGTGTGTATAAGCAACTTTAGTAAGTTCCCGTGGCCATTAAGATACATATCTGCAAGCCATCATTCACTCATCAACAATTGTAATGAATTTCAACACTGTCATGACTGGAAAAAATATTTCTTGAGATCTTTTCTATTCAGCATGTTTTCTATTTTTTTTACATTCAATTCATGGTAAATATAATTAGAATATATTGGCAGAACCTGGCAAGCTCCCCGTGGTGTATTTGATATGCCAAAAATAATAACAACAAGTCCCACAATGGAGATGTTACTGGTGCCTGCTCGAACAAATCGACTAACAACAGGAGGACAGTGTTACAGACAGTGCATAGTTAAAATAGCTTGAAAAGAAAGATGCTGGTTTTTTAAATCTACTTTAGCTTAGGTGAAGTAGAAAATATCTTTGTTTTAAATCTTATATAAAAAGCATTTGTATCTTTTCATTCTTTCAGAATAATGATGTTACCTCTCTTAGATGTGTGTGTTTGTGTGTGTGTGTGTGAGAGAGAGAGAGAGGAGAGATGATGATGATGATGATGATGATGATGATGATGATAGCCAGTCCTACTGTCAAGTTCCTTCTATTTTTCCATACTCTGTGAAATTTATACAGCTACCTGTGAAAGGAATCCCAACATATACTCCACAAAGTCAGGAATATTATAAGCACTTCTTCCACTAATAATTTAAAATATTTCCTAGATATGCTTGTTACTTCCAGGTGAGGGCATAGTAGTGGACAAAAAGTCAGACTTGCCTCAGCTAAGCATAGAAGATCAGAAGAATCTCAGAATACTTGGTTTTCCAAAACACCAGAAAAATGCCTCCAGAAGAACAGCTTACATCAGATATTTCCTCTCAAGTTCCTACTCTGAGAATCAACAGAAACAGTTTAATGCCTTTGCTATGACTTAAAAAGTATAGAGTAAGTCCTTTAATCCACAATTATCTGATTAGCAGGAATCTGAAACCCAAAGAAGAAGATTGTCAACCATTTGGATTTTATTTCCAGCCTAATGACCTTCTTATTCAGCTATTCTCTCTTTGTCTACAAAGTTAGCAAACAGGTGCCTGAAAAGTGGATGAATTTCATTAGTGTTTTGATTCTGGAGAGGGGGGTTGGTGGAAGTAGGGGATAGATTTGGAACTGATCCTTGCTAACTCATTGCTGAAACGCTGAATGTTTACTTTGAAATCACCATTCCTAGGATACTTGTCATGGTTCATAAAAGAGATTGACAGCTCCATTATCTCTGAGATGCCTGTGTATAATTCCTATTAATGTGAGCAAGACTTGCAGCAGCACAAGAATTTGAGCCTCTCTAGTCTTTTTGTATTGCTCTGAAAAATGATGTTAAAATTAGCTTTCACATAATCTGTAAAGGGTTCAATCTATTCATCTGAAGATTAGACAAATGTTTCTCAATCATAGATTCAGAATGTTTGGGCTCAGAAGAGATTTTTAAGCAATTAAGTGAAACTCTTAATTTATAGATATTGAGACTAAGTGGCAGAGAAGGCATCATATCTTATTGAAGTATATGTATTACTGTATATAATCCTCATATATATACACATATATATAACTTCCCCAGTGTTTTTTATCCTTCGTACAATGTAGTGTTATATTCTTACTAGAATTTAAGAATCAAATCACATAACTACAAACAAAAGATGATAATAGGGTCTTCTGTATCTAGAAATGATAGAGACATAAAGATTGACCTTTGTAAACAACTACTTAAAGCTAGCAAAACATGTTAAGCAAGAGTTTTCAGATACTACACAGCAGGCAATGAAGGACTTTGTGCCTCTAGAGAATAGAAACAAACAGGGAAACCTAATCCCCTAAAAGTGAAGGGGGTGAAGTAGAGTTATATGTACTCACTGAGTTGAGACGTAGATCAAAGACAGAACAGACTGAGGTAGCTGGAAATTGCAGTGGACTTGAGGATGGAGAGGAAAATATTCAGGAAGCAACTACAGAAACAGTTATAGAAAGAGGTAACTTGAGTTGTACTGTGCCACACTTTTATAGAGTTAAACCTCAAACATCCAGGTAAAATGAGCTTGCTTGGGCAGCACATATGAGAAAATTGGAATGATACAGAGAAGATTAGCATGGCCCCAGGCAAGGATGACACACAAACTCTTGAAGCATTCCATATTAAAAAAAATATCCTGGTAAAGAGAAAATAAACAGTGTGATCTGAGAAGTTCCCAGAGTAGAGAGATATTTGAAATGCTTAGAAATCAGTCCAGCTACTCATTCTTTGTTGTTTGTTCTTATTCATTTTTTTAAAAAAAATTTATTAGTGAATCACCATGAGGTACAGTTGTAGACTTACAAATTTTTGTGCTTGGGGTTGTTATACAATGATCGAGTACCCATCCCTTCACCGGTGCCCATTCTCCACCACTACTGATCCCAGTATCCCTCCCACCCCCTCCATCCCCTCCAAGCCATCCTACCTCTATGGCAGGGCATTCCGTTTTGTTCTCTCTCTCCTTTTGGGTGCTGTGGGGGTCACACTCAGTGAGTCTCAGGGCTTTCTCCTGGCTTTGCACTCAGGAATTACTCCTAAATCTTAGAGGATCATATGGAATGCCGGGGTTAAATACTGAGTCATTAGCATGCAAGGCAAGTAGCCTACCCTCTATCCTATTGCTCTGGAGCCATCTACTCACTCTTGTATTCTGTTCTTCTTTATTTGGACAAGGGAGAGAGTGCTCAAGTAACACTCCTGGCCCTGCTCCAGGTCCCATATGTGGTGGGAGTTGGTCCCCAACAAAGCAAGTGCTTTACTCACTGTACTTCTGTTATATGTTTATAAACACTCTCAGTTTGTGTAACTTATTTTGAAGTATGGACTTAAGGATGCTGAAGTTTTTAAATTATGTTAATTGCATGAGTGAAATAATCTTTTGATCCTACTACCATACATTGAAATAAAATAAAAATTTTATTTGCCTGTTTTAGCATTTTCATTTTGTGGAAAGACTCCTTTTTTGTGTGATTTTTACCCTTATTCACAATTACATTTTATAATACGCTAACTGTAGTCATTTTAAAGCCTGCCTTAATTTTAATATTTGGCTCATCTATTTCCATTGATGGCTTTGTCTCATGACAATTACTTGATTTGCTTATGCATCTCATGCAATTTTTATTTAAATAAAAAGATATCCTGGGTAGAACAGCATAAATTTATTTAAACATTACTTATACCTTTATACTGATATGCTTAACATTCCTCCAAAGATCAACTGGACTTGGGATGTGAACCTAATCCTGTGATTATTTTTTCCACTCTTCTGTCTGGCCTGTAAAACTGGGTTTTACCTTTGTTAGGAAGCATCAAACTACTTTATTATGGCTATAAAAGCTTAAGTATCTTGAAGGAAAAATTTGGTAGTAGGTCTTCATCTATTTTCCATAGTTATAACCACCTTTGTTCTTCACAGATGCATACTTTAAGGAGTCTCAACCTCATGTGCACTGATCTGTATCTTTATTATGAATACCAGGTGGAGTTACTTTGAAACTATCTTGCTAGAGAATGTGAACCCCTACCATACAATCTATACTCAGTCTTTATAGCAATTTTCTTTAATCCTAACTAACATTCTTGCCCTCTGTTATTATTGCTATATATGTGTAGTCTGCCACAGGTGGTAAAGATTGTGTGCCATTTATTTTGTGTGGGTAGGAGAATGGTCTTTCTTTAGAGTTGAGGCTGTGTATTTGCCTGTACATTTAGATATTTAATAGGTGTGAGAAAAAGATTTTTCAGTTTATCCAGCTGAATGGATCAGGAAACAAAATTCCACCATCTGCTGCTTCCAAGAGACATACATTGACTTTCATGATAAATACTAACTAAAAATGAATGGTTAGAAAAATTATACAGGTTAATGACAGATTTATAATAGCAGGAATGGTCCTACTTATATTAGACCAAATATCATTTAAACAAAAGAAATTCATAAGGGTAGAGACAAAAAGGACTTGTTACCAACATATATGTTTCATATGAAAGAATAGCACTGTCCTCCCATTGTTCATAGATTTGCTCGAGTGGGCCCAGTAACGTCTCCATTGTGAGATTTCTTGTTACTGTGTTTGGCATATCGAATATGTCATGGGTAGCTTGCCAGGCTTTGCTTTGCAGGTGAGATACTCTTGTTAGCTTGCCGGGCTCTCTGAGAGGGATGGAGGACTCAAACCCGGCTTCACCGGCCGGCCACGCAACACCTTACCGCTGTGCTAGCGCTCCAGCCCATGAAAGGATAGAAGTGTTTATATTAAAAAATGCTTTATACCTTAGGAGATAATGGTAACAATCACACAATAGCAGTGAGAGACTTTTATAACCCACTCTCTGGCTGATCAGAGTAGAAAAAAATGTTATTAATAGACATATGAAGGAGGCTCCAACCTGCAAAAGTCAAATAACACTTTCTGCTCCACTGCACATATAGGACATTCTTCAGAATTAATCCCATTATGGGACACGATCTTAGTGTCATTAGAACAAATAAATAAAAATCATATAAAGTCTCTTTCCAGACCACATAATTTGGAAGGTGTAAGTTAATTATAAAAATCAAAAGTTGGGGCCACAACAGTCGTATAGTTGGTTGAGTATTTGCCTTGCACACGATCGACTGGGGTTCGATCCCTGGAATCCCCTGAGCACCAGCAGGAGTGATTCTTGAGTGCAGAGCCAGGTGTAACCCCTGAGAATTTCTAAGTGTGACCCTTCCAAAAAAAAGCCAAACAAAAAAAATGAAAAGTTTTGGAAAACATAAACAACTGAACTGAGCAACAAACTGTTAAATAACTATTGAGTCAAAACGGAAATCATATAAAAAATCAAGACAACTTGAAATAAATTTGAATGAAGACACAATCTATCAGAATCTAAAAAAAAAACAAAAAAAATTACTAAGTCATCATAGTCATAGGAATATACATTTACATCAGAAACAGAGGAACAAATTCAAATGAACAGCCTAATTTCTATGATTGAAAACCCAGGAAGAGAGCAAATGAATTTTCTCCACTTGAGTTAACTTTTGTGTATGATTTGAGATGGACTACAATCGTTTTGTTGTTCTTCATGTGGCTATACAGTTTTCCAGCATCTTTTGCTGAAATGCTTTTTCTTATTCCACTTACTGCACTCAGCTCTTTTCTCAAGCATTAACTGTCCATAAACCTAAGGGATTATCTCTGGATGCTCAGTTCTACTCCATTTGTCTGAGTGCTGTATTTACTTCAGTATTACACTATTTTGATTACAATAGCCTTAAAGTATAATTTTTTAATCAGGAAATTAAATATCACCCAACTTGTCAGAATTTCTTTGTTTATTGTGTGAGCTTTTTTTTCACTCCATACAAATTTTAGCAGATGTTTTTTAAACTTTGGAAGAATGCCATTGGAATGTTTATAGGGATTGGATTGAATCTGTATAAAGCACTAGGTAGGATAGTAATTTTTATAATTATAAAATTATAATAAGTTCAGGAACATATAATAATTTCCATGTCTTTTGTGTCATTTCTTATTTATTTGACTTGTGGTTTACAGTTATAGATGTCTGTCTTCTACATCCTGTTGTAATTTCTAATACCTGATGTTCCTGAACAATATTGTTAATGGGATTTTTCTTACCAATTACTTTCTCTTCTAGTTCTTTGTTTGCATATAGAAATGCAATATTTTTATGGTGTCTATTTTCAGTTCATACTTGCTATATATCAGTTTATTGTTTCTAATAGTTCTAGTTTTTAGGGTCTTTTAGGGATATTATATCATCTGAATAATATTAATAATTTAACTTCTTTATCAACTTAGATGCCTTATATTACTTTTATTTGCCTGATTTTTATGACAAAACTTCCAAAATTACTATTTTTGGTTTTTGGGTTACACCCAGTGGTGCTCAGGGCTTATTTCTTGCTTTGCACTCAGAATCACTTCTGGCAGGGCTTGGGGGACCATATCCATTGCCAGATTTTGAACTTGGATCAGTCATGTGCAAACCAATTGCTCTACTCTGTACTAAATCTCTCTGATTTCAAAAATTATTTTGAATAAAAGTGTAGAAAGTATACTTGAGTTTTACCCAATCTTTTCAAGGCTTTCTGTATTCTTTAAATCTTTGAGTATGATGTTCTGTGGGTTTGTTGTCTACTGCTATTACTATCTTGAGGTATGTACGTTCTGTGTTGCTTTGGGTATCACACTTGGCAGTGTTCAGTGCTTACTGCTGATTCTGTGCTCAAAGAATATTCCTGATGGTGCTCAGGGGACCATAGTGCTAGGAATCAAACCTGTTTTGGGTGAATGGAAGGCAAAGGATTTAATCTCTATCTCTAATATGTACGTGTGTCTATTTGGTATTGGGTTTCGGTCATATGTCACTGATGAATGTTGACCAAAGCATTTTCTGTATCTATTGATATAATTCTAAGATTTTTTTGTTTTTTTATGTCAATATGATATATTACTTTATTAATGTAGATAGAACTATTCTTATTTGTAAATACTGAAGGAAAATCAGTTTGATGGAAAGTAAGAGCTTTGAATGTATTGACTTAGATGTCCATTATATATATCTAAAAAGGATTTTTCCACAGTAGGTTAGTCGATGTAGCTGTTCGCCTTATTTGAACATCTTCTGTCCTTTACATGATTGCTTCTGAAGTTATTTAGGCATCATCTTATATGTTGTCTTGCTTCTACTCCAAAGAACTCACAAATTTACCTTCTATTACCATACTGTAATTTTCTGGTTAGTGTTATTTCTAACAGGTATTATTATGCTTATTAGTTATGCTCATATAAACTAAAGAGGGTCCTTCTGAAGGGGCTCAATATAAATGTTTATGCAGTGAAGGCAAGGGAGATTTAGACTAGTAGACCAAATACATTACCAGAAACAGTGGTACTGATAACACATATATACAAGAATTAGCAGTGAAACACTCAAAGTTTTGGGCACTATTCAGTATATGGTGTTTGCTTTATGATTGATGGAAGAAATGACTATTTCCATTAGTGTAATAGTCTGAGTACTTTTTCTTTTTGGTTAGAAAAACTTTGTTAAGAATTTTCCTTGGTTTTCAATAGTATATGTAGTTTTAAAAGTTTAGCTTCACAC